CACTACTTACTGCTGCTGGCAAGCTCCATATTCTTGTCCCTGTTTGGTTCTGTTGCTAGCTATATTAGAGGCAAGTTCCAATTTTGTTTTGGGGTGATCAGCTTCTAACTGTTCATAGTAAATTTTATGTGACTAGAGAAACCTATTTCTGTTTCTTGTAAATAGTACCTAGCAGATTTTTTAAATGAAGTTCACCCTCCAAAGACCATTAAAAGGTATGTAGTACATTCACCTTTATGTTTCTGCTTCATTTTTACTGGACTATTATATTAAATCACAGCAATGAAATGTACTGTTTTTCAGCACATTGAGATAATAGTTTAAATAGCACATGAAAAACATCCTGAAGAGCAACGGCCCAGGAAATTTGCCAGCCCAGCCAAGCTGTAGATGCACTGCTGGGTAGAGTTTCATCTGTGTAGGCTCCTGTCATGCAGCAGAAATAGTTCTGTGCTTTTAGCTGGGTTATGGACAGAAATGATGGCTGTGGAAGCTGAGTGTTGCCTGGCAGCATCGCTGTGGGGACACTGGTGTGACAAAGGAAAGGGTGCATACTCTGCTGAAAATCTGTGGACTAGAGCAGCAAAAGTAAGTCGAATGCAGCTGGGTGATAGGTCCAGAGTCATCTTTTGAGCTTCCCCTCCTAATTGAGAGGCAGAATGAGAGAGCAGAAAACAGTACAGCTGCTGTCACCTTCCCAACAAATTCATCTCAGGCAAACCAATTACATGATTTCTTAACAAGACAGTAATAAAAGCTTGCCTTGGAGATGGTACTTGTGCTGTGCAAGTACACAGTTCTAGGGTTAAGGTGGTAACAAGATCTTGTAATAAACAATCTTCTTCAAACTTCTTGTTCCTTGCAGAATCTGTCACTCTTCCACTTCCTTTCATTCTAAGCAGTGGCAGAGTGAAGGAGAGCCTCGTTCACAGCAAGCCATTACAGTGTTATTGTGAGGGTTGTTGGACCCATTTCCTTCTGAAGAAGGTTTTACTTGAGAGAGGAATCTCGTGATGAAATAGAGCAGGGTGAAGTGACAAAAATGGGAGATGCTTATCTGTAAGAATTTGTACAGGATGCTTTGGGGATACACTGACAGCAACAGGTCTCCCTGGGAAGAAGTCTTTAGGAAGTGTGGAAATGAACTGACTTTTTAATTTTAATGTTTTTCATGACACAATTTAATTCATGATGTTTCCTCTTTTTACTCTTCCTCCTCTATCTTCGTGCCAGGCTGCTTTTCAGGTCTTTTTGTAGGAACTCCAGTGATACTTCAGCTGCCTTTACCACCTTTTCCTTACCCCATGGTAATGTAATTTGAACATGAACTGTTATTACTAAAACATCAGCTATTGTCAGCTGCTTGAAAATTGAGCTGCTTGAGATTTTTCTAGACTGAATTTGGATGTTATTTCATGAAATTGAAGTGTGTATTGGAAGTTTAATATGTGAAACCTATTTCTGGAATTTTATTGTTTATTGTGTGCATCTACATGATGCTATGTTAATGGCAATCAAAAGCAATCTGGGAAAGGCATTGTATCAGAAAACCCTTTGTGTTTACACTACCACATGAAATGGCATGATGGCATTTATGTGGAACTGTCTTGCAATGTTTAAATCTAACATGCCCTTGCTGAAAGATGGCCAGTATTTTGAAGGTGACCCCTTGTTTTCCCTACTATAAGACTCTACTCTGCCTTGCTTACAGCTTGGCTGGGCTCTGATGGTTTGCACTGAGTCCCCAAGTTTGTGTGTCTGACTGAATTGTTTTGTAAAACTTAATCCAAGAAGGCTCAGCTGCTTATGAGAATGTGACTAAGAAAAATGTTTTCCCATATGAAAGTATTGGGAAACTTACAGGACTTCTGTTGGGGCAAGGGGCTGTTTTTCTTTAAATGCTCCATCTCTAGGGAAAACATGAGGTTTTAGTGAGATTATATTTCAGAAACTGTCCCACTCATATCCTGGAAGAAATTCCTCCAGTTTGGAGGTCTGAGGCTGCAATAATCTCAATGAATTCTGAAGAGTTGAGAATAAATCAAAGGACTGAGAGATGGATTTTATACAGAATCTGTGAGAGAGTTGTGTCTAGCTGGGAATAGGAGCTAGGAGTGAATAATGCTCTGGGTGCTGGAGGTGTTGGCTTTCTGTTCAACCCATGGAACAGAGTCTGGGAAGGAAGGCTGGAGGGGACATGGCTGCAGGCAGAGGAAGAGTTGTGCCCTGAGAGAAATGAAGTTTCTCCCTGTCTTTGCCACAGGATTCCTCTGTTGTAAGGGAGCTCACCTGGAGCAGAATGGTCCCTCTGTTTGTCCTTATTTACTGGGTGTCCTGCTTGATACCCACATGCCCCAGCTGCAGAATTCCCAAGTTCTCTGTTAAATTAGGAGGTGCTGGCTTCAGATCCTTGTTTGTAAAAGTAGAGTGTTAATACTCCCATACCTCATTAGGGTGCTGTAGAAATAAATTTGTTTCTTGACATGAGATGAAAGTACAGAAAAGGAAACTTTAGCATTTTAAATTCAGAACAATAAATAAAAGATGAGGTCAGACACTGCAAAGAAAACTAAATATTGAATAACTTCTCATTAATTAAGTAGCATCAGCCTGTGCACCAAGTAAATGAGGAATACAAGGGGGAAGCTAGTATTTTAATATTTATTTGACCAATGATTTTATACAGATGTACAGGAAGGCTGAATTGAGGTTGGAGAAGTAATCTTCATTCTGACACCTCCTAATTCTTTGAGTGTAATTTTGCAATCTTAATGTTAAAGAGTTTTGTGTGTGACTTGAATATACACAGGCTTTTTAAACGTCATTATTGTTATTTAGCTAATTTATTGAAAGGCAGCTCTGCTCTTCAGGATGGACCTGTGGGGAGAACAGCACTTGCGTCAAAGTTGGAGCATGAGCCTGTTGAATTAGGCTCTGGGCATGCAGAGGGACTGAGAGGTGCAGCCACACTTTTCTTCCTCAAAGCACTTTACAGAGCATGCCAAGTCCTGCAGCAGCTTTTGTGTGGTGTATCCTGGAAAGATTTGTAGTAGGTTCCCCGAAAGCCAGTTTTGTGGAGCTGCTTTTTGAGAGTGTTTGAGCTCTGCAGTGAACCCAGCAGCTGGTGCCCGTGTGAAATCTGGCCTGGTACTGAGTCATGGCTAAGCTGTGCAGAAATGAGGTGTACAGATCTCCCATGACCAGGGAGCCACTGTGTGACTGATGATTCCAATGGTAAATCATTTGTTAGGGACCTACGTGTTTCAGGAAAATGTATTCCTAAAGAAATCTTTCTGTGAGAAAGTGATCTTTTATTGAGGGGGAAAAATAAATACAGGGAGTGCCAATTCCAGAAATGTAAATCTTTACTAAAATTTGAAGTTTCCACAGTGTGTATTACAGCATCTTAGAGAATCTTCATCAGCAGGCTCAGTTTTGCCATGTTTGTAGGTGTTCTGCTTTCTGTAGTCTACCTCAGAAAAATGAGACAGGCTTTCTGGAGGGTGTGCTTTGTGTTTGATTAGCAAAGGAGAGCTGTGGATTTGTGGCTTCACTTGCTGAAGAGTTTGTACAGAGGATGGAGGGTAAAACTGCAAGAGGGAATTCATTGCACAGTCAGGGCAGGGCTCCAGGGTCATTGGGAGCTGGTGGTGTGCAGCAATTGTTCTGCTGAAGACTCAAGAAGTTATGCTTTTAAAATTACTGCAGATGACTTGCTGGATGAATTGATGACTCCCAGGGTACTGGGAGCAGCACTTTCTCAATGCACTGAAGTTCTGTTTATGGGCTAAGCCACAAACAAGAAACAACTATATGGCCAAAAAAAACTGTAGACCTAAAAAGACCTTTGGTACTATTTCATTGTTTTAAGATAGAACAAGAGTTAAAAATTAAATGGTATTTTTCTGTGTTAGGTTTTGAAAATATCAATATCAAATGCATGGATTTTGGATGTATTGGTAGCAAGTAAAACCCTTTCTGGTTGTTGCTGTTTCCTTTCCTTCACATGTGCAGGTGGCAGGCTCAGCTGTGCATCCCAGCCTAACAATCACTGCTGAGCAGCAGGAACTGACGGTGCTGAATGCAGTTCCCTGGAGCCTGGCATTCCAGGAGCCCAGGGTATAAATTACTCATCCAGCAATCCATAGGTCTCCCAGTGCTGCATTTCCCCATGATGGTTGCATCAGTTAAAATTAAATTCTTTTCCCCTCTTGCTCTTTCCAAAAGCTATAAACAATTAGAGTTTGTACAGGATAAAATAAATTAAAAGCAACTTACAGTAAAGTTTTTTTGGCCTTGTTGTGGAATTTGGAAGAGGGGGAGGATTCTCTCTGCTTGTCTGAAATAACAAAACCAGCTGCAAAATCCAGTATGGCTTGAGTCTTCCTTTGGCCACAGTACAGTTGAATGTTTCAGATGAATACGAAAGGGCTCTGGTGCAGAGTGGTGCATCTCTGATGTTTGCTGGGTAATGTCAGGAGCACAAACCTGTGCAATGCACTTGTGTGAGGGATTTATTGGAGTAAGACTCTGGGAGGTCCAGGCACCGTTCACTTGGCTGCTGCGCTTTTCAGATCACTGGAAGGAGGCCTGGTTAGAAGAGTAACAAGATGCTCCATATGGAACCAGCTTTTTTAACTCTGTGTATAAAGTCCTGTCCCAACGGGCCAGAGAAACCATTCCCAGGAAAGGCATTCTAAGTTCAGCTGACAGTGGTATTGGTAAGGAATACAGGCACATTTATTGAAGTATATTTGGTATCTCACCAAAACCATTTACAAACACTTTTTAATAGGTTCCCTGCCAATTGTGTTTTTAGAAAGGGACAGTTTCCTGCAAAGTTTCATTTCAAATGACTAAAGAAACTTTCCCTAAATATTGACATACTGAAATTCACAAGTGTTGAATTCCTTGTTATTGAAAGCAACAGCAGACACATTGCTGGAAAAGATAACTCACTATGAGAGTCACAGTAAGCCTTTTCTTTCTTTACCTGGCAGGTTCCAATCCACCAAAATCTTAAAGAACTGCTGGCCATCAGGACAGAGCTTCAGAAGAAGGTTGAGGATTTGCAGCGGGAAGCTGCCACACGTTCCATTTCCTCCTCCTCTGACAGAGGCTCATCTCCTTCCCATTCTGCCACACCAGTGCACACCTCTGTGTGATGTGGAACGAAAGCCATGTGAAAAAAACAGTGTCAGGTAACACAGAGGAGGGTGAAATGCTTTTCCATCACTAAAGGATTGTGAGTGACTCGTGATTGCTATGATCTACATGCCTTACTCTGTGGCTGATATTATCACCATGAGGCCAAAAAGAGCTTCAGTAGATGTGATGTATTTTCTTGTTGGCAGTTCCCACATGTGTTTTGACACTCTAGTTAAGTCACCAATCGTGAAATTAAACTTTGTTTTGAGCAACTAACAATTTAACCATTCTAAAAAGGAATCCATCTGCCAAGCAGACAGAAAAATGCCTCACACATTGTCTAGAGTACTATGCCTGGTTGAGAGAATCAGATGAAATGCCACATGATGCTTACACAGAACACAAAATGTTTTTCTGAATGGGAGCTCCTTATTTCACTCAGTAATATATATATATATATATATTTTTTTTTTTTTTTTTTTTTGCTAGAACAATTTATTTTTTTTAGGCAATGCACTTGGAAATTGATTTTAAAGTAAATGTTTTCCAGTGTAGTCAGTTTTACATTTTGAACTAAATATGCCATTAAAAGTGGATGAAGTTGAGCTGGGTTTATCAAGTACACCACACTGACTTGTATGATGTAATATATTTGGTAAAGCATGTATTTTAGGTTTTTTAATGCCTTTTGTACAAGTTGAAATAAAGTCTTTTGACTGTTTAGCTTATTGTTCAGTTTCAGCCTCCCGAGCGAGGGGTAAACTTGCTCATGTCAAGGTCTTGTACAAAGTAAAAGTTTGTTTTCTAGCAAATGGTAATATTTGGGGTTGGAATGACACCCAGCTGTGTAAATTGTATAGTCTGTATAGCTCCACATTGTGAAGTGCGTTTTGTTTCTGGTGTACACACAAAATGCAAAGCTGTGTGCGTTTATACCCATGTGTATGTGATGTTAAACATATGCATCCTCCCGTGGGTTTAAGCTGTACCTTCAGAAAATGGATCCTGCCTGTCCAAACCCTTCTGAGGACCTTAACTTGCAATGACTTTGTTTGACAAAGTTTTTTGAATAATATGATATTAATTGTTTTTCTTGAAATAAAGCCTCTTGGCTTTTTGTTTTTTAAATTCCTACTAGCATTTTTTCTGTAATAATTTAACTGTGTTGTCATGTTAAATATACATTCCCAACTTTCTTGCATCTCCCCCCAGAAATACTCATATTGGAGAGATTTGATTACTGTGACATTCCTCCTTTTAGAAAATTACTCACTGGCATTCTTGGAAGGCCTAGAAATGGTGCATGCTGCAAATTTTCCCTGGATCGTTTTCCTGCTGTGTTTCATGAAAATCTGGTTCTTCTCCTTAGGAAACTTAAATATTGCAGCTCTGCTTTTTGACTCGTGCTTGTATTGCTCCAGGTTCTGCTGGTGGGAATTAAGCCCCATTTTTAAGAGCCAGTTGATTCTTTATGGTGCTTGTGGGTTTTACTGACTGTGAGTATTCATTTGTTGCTGCACTTTTGTTCCCAATACACGACGGCTTTTCTGTGTCTCCTTCTCTGCATTAACTCTACCCAGCACACAGCTAATGAGCCAGGTGAGCTGCTGAGCACCTTCCCACCTTCAGCTGGAGAGGCTGAAGTGCTGTATCCACTCTTGCACGTTTACTGTGCAGTGCAGGGTACTTCAACATGGCCTTTTTACTGTAGCGAATGCTTTTTATAATAAATATTCACCTACACAAACACAGTTTGGGAAGGCTTGCAGTGGTGCATCTCTTAATCGACTTAAGACTTTTTCTAAATAGATGAAAGATGTTTTCCTGTAAAAATGGTTCTGCTGAACAGTGTGCCAGCGGTGAATTTTACATTGCCAAAATATGTTGAGCTGGTGTTGAATTAAACTCTTCGGTACTTCAGATTTCCTTGACATTTCAACTGTATATTAAAGTAAAGCATATTATCTCCAAAATGCAGTGCTAAAGAAAATCTTTTGAAGTTTTTCTCTATATTTGTGCTAATAATCACAACATTTTCTATATAATTATTGCAAAAGCGATGACTGGATTAGCTTGGGCATTCTGAGATTTTTAAAGCTTGGATTTCTAAAGCTAAACTCTGAGAATTTGGTTTTGCATAGAAGAATATCAGTCATTTCAGCTGACTGGCTGCATATCCACCAGTTTCAGCACAGCTCAGTGAGTCCCTGATGTGCAGGCAGAGCTCTGGGGGAGGGTCCTGCTGTCCCGTGTGCCAGCACAATGGATGGTTTGTACATACTTAGTATGGAAATATTCAGAGGTGTTCTCTAGCTCATATGGGCTAGTTAGAGCATAGCTTTACACTGAAGAGATGATTGTTGTTGTACTCAGTCTGCTTCCTGATAATCAGATTTTTTCCTGTTGATTTAACAACTAATTCTGTTTTTTCTTTTTCAATAAGGCCGTGTTGAACTAGCTAAGGGACAAGCAGAATCCTGTTCCCTGTCTGCACCTTGGACAGAGCTGTACACTTCTGGTTCAAACACCAGATCTTCTGCTCTGGTTGTTGGTTTTGACTGCTCAGTGTAAGGGGAATGTGCAAAGAGAGCAGGCAGTTACATTTGGCTTGCAGGATTTTCCTATTCTCAGTGGCATATGAGAGGGGGTGCAGCCTGAATCCAGTGTCCCAGAAGGGGATGGAGCCTTGGTAACTGGCTGACACATCTTTTGCTTGTAAAGTAAGTGAAGTGAATCATCAGCATCAGAGACTATGCCTTTTTAAGTCCTGCCTCAGAGCTGAATTTACACTTCTTTCCCCTGTATAGATAAGTCATTTTTCTGCTGTTTCCTTGAAATGGAAGAAGGCTTTTAAAGCCAGTAAACACTCCTAACTGCCTGGTTCTGCTCCCTGCAGAGGCAGACTTCTCAAGGAGTTAGAGCTTTAAACAAGAAGTGTTTCATTGCTTTCATTTTCCAAGAGAAGCTGTACTAATTCATGGGCTGTGTGTAGTAACACCAAGAACATCTGGTTCTCTGAAAGCTGAAAACAAGGAATCAAGAGTCTCATTCATGTGCACTAAGCCTCACAACAGAGGACACAGTAAAATGGGCAATTCAGACTAGTCCCCAGGTGAAACATTTATGGTAAAAAGCAAAAAGGAAAGTCCAGTTGCTGAGACCATATCTGCTGAACTAAGAGGGTATTGATAGCTTTTACCTGCCAGACCTTGGGCAGCTGGGAGGAAAGAGTTAAGAAAGATGAGTCAAAAGTAGTTAGTTTGAAATATAAACCACCTTTTTTGACTGTGAGACTGAGCATCACATCATACAAAGCTTAGTTTGCACTGCACAGGAGATTTATCCTACTGGGTGTGAAAATGTAAAGAAAACAGCAGGAAACTTAGGGCACTGCCTTGAGTTTAGCTGCTGATGACCTGAGGAGAGAGTGAGAGTGTGTGTTGCATGCAGATACTCCATTTTTACCATTAAAGTTTCCATAGTGGTATTTGTTTTCTCACAAAGTTTGGATTGGTTTTTTAAATGAAGTCTTCAGTGTAGTTAGAGAAGAGTTGATGTACCATAAGGATATATCCAAACACTTGCAGTTCACTTCCAATGTAAAAAAAAAAAGAAAAAAAACCCCACAAAACAAAAATCAAGTCTAAAATGTCTTTCTAGTCAACTTGGTTTATTTGGTGGTTTCAAAGGTAGTTGAATTCTGGTTTTTACTCCCGTGACCCTCACACACACATTAACAAAATGTATTTTGTTACAGCGTAACATTCAACCTTCATTTGGTACAGGTCACTTCAGCAGCAAGGAATCTGCCTTGCTTCTAAGTCAGAACTTCAATCAAAAGAAAGAGTTCTCTAATTTCACAACCCTGTTGTTTCTGAGCTTGATTTCTTCCTCAACCTCATCTGTTAGAGAAGCAATTTTTAAAGGCTCAGCCTGCTGACTCGTCCTTCTTTTTCAGAAACTGAAACAGTATTGTGGACTAATTCCACTTTTATCACAACAAATGAGTAGTTAAGGATGACAGTGGAGCACTTGCAAGGGTTCGTTAGTGGGGCTGCTTGAAAATGACTGAGTTTATAGTGCCAGAAAGATGTGAAATTTGTGTCAGAGTATTCTCAGCTGAGGAATCTGAAACAAAGTACTGCCAAAGGAGAATGCAAGTAATTGAAAGAATAAACATGAAAAGAGCCAGCTGAATTCTTTCAATTCTCTCTTTTCTCTGTCAAACCCTTGACAAACCTTTTCTGAATCATTTTATTGCCATTTAAAATAGCTTTAGAAGTGAGGTGTCGTAAGACAAAGAGCTCACAGCATACATAGTACAAAAACTCTCAGGACATCTACATATAGGTTTTGGACTCATGGAAAAAAAAAAAGCAAACCGATTTTCTAGTGGTTTATTGCCTTTTTTAATAAAGGACAAGAAAGTTCATGCCATGTATACAGAGCTTAAATGCCGGATTTTTTAAAAATCCATATCCCAATTTAAAGTGAATAAACAGTAATTAAATGAAAGTAGAGGTCAGTGCTGGGTCAGCTGTTCCACAACTTGGATCACTACTAGGAAAATACACAGGAAACTTCTCAGTTGCTATAATGCCTAAAATATAGATGATATAAACTCCCTGTTTTTCAGAGACTCGTGGCAGTTCAGATGGAAGAGGGGACAAACAGCAATAAAAAAAACCTTTTAGCCTTTGCTGACATTTACCACCAAGACTCTTGACTTTTGTTCACTTTTGAAGAGAAGGCCAAGCCTAATTTCTCCACTGTAGAATTTGCAAGTATTTTCCTATTTGAAATCCTAGAGAAAAGAAATCTTGAATTCTGTCACTATTCACTTTGGAAGTGTTCTCTTTCACTGTGCATTTATGGATTTCCACATACCTACACACTACACGAGGTTTTAAGTAGTCACCAGCATTATAGAAGAACCTTGAGCAAAGCAGCAGTTTCTGAGTCCCAAAAACGGGTGGGTTTTCCAGTGAAACAGCTTGCTGCCTTTCCTTGTTAAATTTGTGACCTGTCGTATTTAGAATTAGACTTGTGCTCCCTCTGTGCCCCGGTGGAAGAGTTCCCCAGAGGAGGGGTAGGTGCTGTACTCTTCAAACCACACTGACTACTGACACAGTCACTGGCAAAGCGGGAGGAGGAATTTTGGGCACTGGATCTAAGCTGGGCAAACAGCTTCTAGTGATCATCAACGCCCTGCTGTAACACTTCATCTACAACAGCTTACAGAAAACACATTTCATGCTACAGCTTTCAAACGTGTTTGGGTAAGAACAAAAAACAAGTGCTGGTGCTTGGGACTGGAGATCCACAAACTCAGCTGTGTGGCTTAGATGGCACCTGAGCTCCTGCTGCAAATTCTGCAGACCCCACTTCCTCCATGAAAACCTTGGGAGTAAGCAAACAGTGCATCCCATCTCTTTCTTGTTCTTCCATTATCTGAGCCAGTAATTAACATTTCTTTCCTATTTCAGGCATTCATAAAACAAAGCAGCAGTTCAGAGTAGTATTGTTGTAGCCTAAGCATTCTGAATAGTTGTGAGGCACCTTATAAACCACTGTAGCTGTTCTGCCAGAGCTAGTATAAGGCTTTAAAAATGCAAGTGTTAAAAAGAGCATAAAGAATTGTGCAGCTATTGCAAAATACTTAACCAAGTTACTAGGCAATTTCATTCCAAATGGAGCTGTTAGACAGCAATGCTCCTGGGCTCCTTCACCTCCTGGCAAGGCCTTCTGGAAGTCATGTCTACCTGAAAGCTGTGAATTTGTACATCTTACTGAAAGGCTTGGTTTTCTTAATACACGTTCATCAAATACAGAATTTGCAAACCTGTACTAAATGCTCACATTTCACATTTATATATAAATAGTGAGTACCTCTTATACCATGTAAAGTGACATTTCCTTCACTTGAGAACATGCTTTTTAAGCAATCATTGATTTGGAAAAATGTACTGGAAAGTGGCAGTTATCCATACTTTAGCAGCAGTCAGGTTGCTGGGGAGGGATTAGAAATCTAAACAGAAATTCCTGCAAGACAGTGAAGGTTGGGTCCAGGCAGCAGTTCAGCAGCGTGGCAGGGGCTGCGTGTGCAGCGTCCCGGTGCCGCCCAGTGTCCTGCTGAGCACCACGCACAGCCCAGTGCTTCCAGGCAGGAACCCCATGCAGGACAGTGATGGAGGATTTGTCATCTCAGGAGGTACTGCCTATTTTAAAGGTTAGCCAGTGACACAAAGAGTGAAGCTTAAATCCTTTTTCTGCCTCTGAGTGCCTGGGAGCACTCCTGATAGTAAAAGGAGGGGACTGCATCTTGTTAAGCTTGAGTTCTGTTGTACTGAGCATTACAGGTCTTAACAGATACCTGCTTTGTTTATTTTCTTTTGGGTTAAATCAGTCACTTATTCTAAGTGTGACTGAGATCTGAACCTATCCTTGAAAGCATCCATATGCACACAGCTTTAGTTGTGGTGACAATGTAAGTATCTCAAGTCACAGAGACAGAATCACAGAATGAATTAGGTTGGAGAAGACCTTTGAGATCATGAAGTCCAACCTATGACCTAACCTAACACCTCATCATCAACTAAACCATGGCACTGAGTGCCACAGCCAGTCTTTTTTAAACAAGTCCAGGGACAGTGACTCCACCACCTCCCTGGGCAGACAATTCCAGTGCCCAATCACTCTTTCAGTGAAGAACTTTTTCCTGATGTCTAACCTGAACTTCCCCTGGTGCAGCTTAAGACAAACTATATCACTGCAGTTCCTTTCTGATCTGCACAGTGGGGCATTGCAATGACATTTGCTAGAAGTGAACACTGCACAAACTACTATCAACTGTATTTGTGACTTTGTCTGAAAATCAGGTCCTTTGGTTAGAAGCCGAGCGCTGGGTGGTGGTGGTGAAGCATCCTCAACTCCTGGCTCGGGAGCAGGGAGTCACCTGGCTCAGCCCAAGGTCCCACACGAGGACCCACCTTAGGCACTTCATTTTTAGGTGTAGCTACACGAAGGACTGCAATCCACCCTCAGGAAATGTGCAGCTTTGTGCCCACCATGGGAAGTGACACTGCCCGGAGCTGAAGGCAGAAGGTGGCTGAGGCGCTTTGCAGGGTTTGGCTTTGGATTGCTATTTACAGGCACTTCACTGTCCTCATACCTGTAAGCTCTTGAAAACTGACCACAGCTGAAGTACCTTCTGTGGGTTTCCATCCAACTGCACACCAATCCTACACTACTACTTCGATGTAAACATAAACCTCTTCACAAAAAATAAACACATGCTACCAGTCTAACCCTAAAGCCTAGAGCAATAAAAAGCCAGTTCAAGCCTAAATACACATTAAATAGCTTTGGAGTCAAATTAAATTAAAAGCTAAATTACAAGCACGAAAGATCTCTGCTGCTGCTGACTGATTATTTTCTAGCCCTGGGTCACGCTTTATATCTTCGCACTGTCTTGTTTTGGCGGTTCTGCTGACTGCGTTTCCAGGACTGAATATTTAACTGGGGAGAAAGAAAAAAACCCGTGAGTACAATAGCACACGATGGAACCAGGGCACAAGCACTGGCTGATTGTATGTGACACTGGAAAAGCCTTTGCAGCAGCTCTGATTGTCTGTCACTGAAAGAAGGATCATGCTTCTCTTGTGCAAGGCTCTCAGTGGCTGGTGACATGAAAGCTAAATGTTAACTGCATCGTTTGCAGCACGAGCTCCTTGGGCTCTTACCAGGCTTTCCTTTGTGTGCCGTAAAGGGGTAAAAGCACGGTGGTGGGTGTTTCACAAAAGCTGCAGCATCACCTAAGCAGTGCCATCATCAAAGGGACACAGCAGCTCCATGCAGCACGGGGGACTTTAAGGAAGTCCCTTGGTAAAGCTGTTTGTGTGGAGGGATGCAGGCAGGGGTAAGGGATGCAAGGCTCTCACCCTGGGGTTCCTCGCTTACGACGGCTTCCATGTTTTCTCCTTTCACATACTCTGCGTTCAGTCCCTCTGAGAAGTACAATAAACACAGTGAGATGGGAAGGGTAGAAAGTGAAATTATTTGCTTTGATGCCTTAAAAACTCTGGTAATGGGCACAGAGTTGTAACAGCTGAGACACCTTTGTGAAACCTCCTCTGCGGAGACAGCAGCACAGAAGCCTCGGTAACTTACAGCCAGTGCTGAGACTTGCCGGGTTTCATAGTGCCCATGGAGCTCCTGGCAGGCACAGCTCCAGCAGCAGCTCTTTTGTCTGAGGCTGCTGCTTCATCTTTATCACGAGAGACAGCCCAGCTAATTCCTGTCTGAGGAGCTGAGCTCTGAGGAGTGCGGGAGGGGAAGGGAGGAAGGCTTCCCGGACAGAACTGCTGCGTGCAGGGGCTGTGCCTCAGCACAGAGATGTGCCACAGCCTCATTAAAAGCTAAGTTATGCAGAGCTTCAAGCAGCAGTTCAGAGCAGGGCCGTGGTGATGAAGAAGGATCCCAGTGGGGTGTCAAATCCCGAATAAGTCCCTTATTTAAATGCAAAGAAGTTCCCAACGTTATCAACAAGTGGAGCAGTGGCCAAGAAGCAAGGCTGGGCACTGGTGGGCAGGGGTGGCTGCAAGAGGGTGGGCAGGAGGAAGGGGGTCCAGCTCAGAGCTGGAGGTGAATTAAGACAGTCTGGGGTGTGCCACGGACCTCAGGCATCCTCAGCAGCTCCTCTGAGGGACAGCTGTGGGAAAAGGCAGAGGTAGGAGTGCTGTGCTAGCTGTTGCATCCCCTGGAGAAGGACCAGGGAAAGGGTGCTGGTCTGCAAATGAAGCCTGAGGCAATCAGGCCATGCAGCACACACTTCTTAGGCATCTATAACGTGTTTGCACAACTAAATATAGCTCAGGGTGTGGCAGGTACTGGCTGTGCCTCACCACCAGGTCTGGATGGGGTTCATTGGTATCTCCCAGCGAAGGAGGGAGGCAGGGAATGGTGCCAGGGCCAAGCCACAGGAGTGTGGTGAGAGCCTTAGGCAGCAATGGGACAGCTGCTGCCTCCAAGACACAGGAGAAAAGGGTTCTGCAACTGGCTAGAAAACCCCATAAAGCCCTCATGCCAGCAGGGACACTGCAGGCAGCAGCTGGCCAAGCTGTGGAGGCAGGGGAGGCACAGCTGCACCCCTGGCCAGGCACAGTGAGAGGCTGAGCCTCAGCCCAGGGCATGGCTGGCGAGTACCAGGTGAGGTGCAAGAAAAGAGAGTGGGATGGAAAGTTCTAAGCAGCACTGTGCATCTCCCTTACAGGAATCAGCAGCAAATGTTCCTCAGAAAAGACTCAAAGCTGAAGGACAGAGAAAGAACCAAGCCTGTTCCTCCATGTGTCAAGTGAGTGGTCAGATGTGTTTTGCTGGAATAACAGCAAATGCAATTTATGTTTTTCAATAAAAAGCAGAGGCTGACAACTCCTAGATTTCTGTCATGCACTGCAATGCATCTAAGGCCTGACATTAGCCCAGCATGCCATGTCTGATGGCTTAAATTAATCCTCCTTTATAATTAACTTTAATTTCCTGCTGCCTTTCTGGGGCTTTGTGTCTCTCAGCTTCCTCCTCATCAAAGCCTTTACTCCATTTTTTTTATTATTTATTCTTGCCAAAATATCATTTAAGTGGGGGGAATATACAAGAGTGTTTCATTCCATCACATTCATTTGACTTTTCCTGCTGATCTAATTTACCAAAATGCTGTTTGTTTCAGGCACAACTGGGAAAATAGCACGATCCCAACAGCAATTTCCAACCCCAAACACCCTTTCCCTAGAGCAAATAGGACTCACAGGAGATGTCAATTGATTAATTTTAAAAAAGAGCTTGCAACTCAGCTGCTTGTAACTTCCCTCTCATAAAGAGCAGCAGGAGCCAAGCATGGTCAGGTGAGTGTTGTGGGCTGAGGCTGTGAGGACTCTCCTGCAATGCCTGCACCAAGCAGCTTTAAGGGGCAGCTCATGCAAAAGGTGTTTTAAGGTAAGTTTTACTGCCTAATTTGCAGTTTTCTACAATGATTTTCACATACCTGCTGAGGGTGCAGTGGGCTGAAGCCCCAGATGCAGACACTGCCCCTGTTCCCTTCCCTGCGCTGCCGAATTTGCAGTTTGCTACAATGATTTTTCACATACCTGCTGAGGGTGCAGTGGGCTGAAGCCCCAGATGCAGACACTGCCCCTGTTCCCTTCCCTGCATCCCGGTGAGTTTTTACTGCTTGATGAGATTTGGGGGGGTGTTGTTTTTTTTTTATTTTGGGGTGGGGTTTTTTTTTCATATTTACTATGCTTGGTACTGATGGCTTGGTCTTCAGCTGTGTTTGTGTGGGGTGTGAGGGGCAGTGTGAGCCCCGGGGGTGGCAGTGAGTCCTGGGGCTGCTGATGGGTTCCTGTCTGTGCAAAGCCTGACATGGGGGGCTCAGTGACCTGGGGCTTTGTTCTGCCAGCTGGGGGCTCTGGGTGGGGAGTGGCAGTGGGGTTCAGGGGGTGCTGGGGCAGGACTTACGCTGGATGCTGAAGCAGAACTTCTTCTGCTGGTAGGAGATGTAGCTGGAGACAGCCCCGATGAGCGCCATGGCCAGGCCGCTGGCGATGCCGGCGATGGTGCCGGTCTCTGCCACTGCGGGGCACAGAGAGAGCTCGTGATGGGCACTCCCTCACACCAGCCCTGCCTCCTCACCACCCCTGGGACACCCACCTCCGCTGTAGTCGTTGTCGGTGTTGCCACTGGCACCTGCAGAGAAACAATCCCGTCAGTGTCCCTGCACCTCTCTGCCCCTGGGCTCCTGCACTGCTGGGCTGGGAGGGAGGGAGGGACACACAGGAGAGGGGTGGCAGGGCAGCCCTGGCCTGGGGCTGGGCAGATGCCTCCATGCTGCAGCATTTCTGCTGCTCCACACTCCACTGGGCTGCTCGCTTTTGCTTCTGAGGGCTTTGAAGCTGCTCCTCTCCCTCTGCGTGTGCATGGGGGAGTTTTGGGGCACCCTCTGCCTGGGACACTGACAATTGTCCCTCTGCCTGTGTCTGACAATTACACCTCCCCTGCTCAGTGTCAGGGAGCACCTGAAGGGCTGTCAGAGTGTTACACAGCACATACGTGCCATCACAGGGAGGTGACTGGCTGAGCTCCATCATGTCAGGGAACCCTCAATTGGCTTGAAGTCTATTTTGACATCACCTTCCCTGGAGAAACTGGGCTGGGAGGAGAAGCTGCTCCCACTGGAAGCTGCAGTCCTTGCCGAGTCACTTGCATCCTGAATTTATGGAAGCAGGTCAGCACTGTATTAATGCCTCTGATGCATCTTGTCCTTGGCACAGGGATTTATTAAATGTTGATTAGGCTCATGGTGTTCAGCTCTTTATGTGACTGCTTTTAATGTTTAATGCTGTGGATCCTTGTGAACGGCTTATCTGATTGTTGTTGGATTTCCCCTTTGTTCCAGCCATTGGTGGTCATGTGGGGAAAAGCAAATGAAGGCATGTAGCCATGCATGGCACCAGGGTGCCCTGGAGGTGATGGGGAGACAAAGGTCCTGTCTGCCCTGGTGGCAGCTGGAGCTGCAGAGCCTCCATGGACTCAAAACCAAACATCTGGCACCAGGCGTGACCACAGAAGCCAAGAACTTTTCCCTTGGCTCCATGGCTGAGACCCCATTTGCCCCTGCCCTGGAGGTGAGCACCGCTCTTGCACAGGGCCCCTTCCAGGAGCTGGGGGTAACCCTGAGCCATGACTGATAAAGGAAACAACCATACCTAGGTCACCACTCACCCTTCTTCTTGTCCGGGCTGTAGCCGCCGTCCACAATGCTGGCCAGGTCGTCGTCTGAAAATCCTTTAAAATGAACGAGAACAAACAGTGGCTGGCACCTAAGGGAGCCACAGCTGTGCCAGAGGTTGGCATCAGTGGCTGCTCCTGCTTGGGCACTAGGACTGGTCAAAAAGTAGTACTGCTTCTCTCACAGTTACCAGATGTTAACCTTGAATTACTTTAAGGTCATAGAAGAGGTAATAACTAACTAGTTTTTAACTGAAATGAGTGATTTTTAGGAGTGAGGATGACTGAAAATCACAAATGGCTGATAATTTAAGAGTTCATTAAATGTTTTGGTGGCCAGCCTTGGCTGAGAGTTGAGGAAGCAGGAAGAAGTGGTTTGTGTGTGCCGTGGCCATGCTGCTGTGGGTCAGTGAGCCCCTGGCTGTACCGCCTGGGCCTGGGGTCCTGCAGGCAGGACCTGACCCTTCTCCTTCCCACAGGGACAGAACAGTCCAGGGGAAAAACAGCACCAGCACGTTTTGTACACATGAAAAAGTTATCTTGTAGTGGGCAGGTCTAATTAATGCAGGGTAAGTACAGAGAAACAGGGTCTGTGAATCTGCAGCTGAATGAGCAGTGCTGCTGAAGGTCTCGGCTGCAGTCCCAGAGGGAGCTCTGGGGTGCAGCAAGGTGAGTGATGGGAGCAGAGACCCAACACTGAGGCAGCAAAAGGCTCCTCCTCTGATGCTGTGCATTGGGAAGGATTTCCTTTGCCTTAACTGGAAGAGACTGCCTTATTCATCAGCTTACCACAAAAAACAGATTTATGGGCTCAGTAATGAGTGTGAAAAGAATGAAAGCCCTGACTATGCCAGAGCCTGGAGAGGTCCCAGGCAGTCCAGGGAGCAGCAATGCTGGGGGAGTGTGTGTGCTGGTTTGTGGCCAGTGCCACGTTCCAGCAGTTCAACACCTCCACCTTTCCTGCAGGAGCCTGAAAACTCAGCAAGCCCAGAATACCAAAGTGCAGACAAGTCACCTAGTTAATACAATGTAATAAAATACCTGCCTGTTAATTAGGCGTGTGAGCAGCGTGTACAGCCATCCCAACATCAATAAACCAGCCGTGCAAAGTCTGCTTCCCAGCTCAAGTGCTCAGGGGAACAATCCTCACAGACAAATGATTCATTCACCAGAGTACTTCAGAGATGGAAAAAGATCCCTCCCAGCCCACAAGGTGTGTTAGGCCAGGACTTGAGCCTGCTCTAGCTTTTCACTTTGGCAGGGAGTGTGAGCCCCACAGCCCACACCCTCTGTTGAAGAGCTGTTGGGTTTGGGGATGGGGGGAACTCAACACAACCACTGCAACTAAATGGATCAGAAGAGACCCTGGGGGAAAAAACCTGCACACAGACATGGAGCAAGTTGTTAGGAAGAGGCTCCTTCCCTCCCCAGGATCGAGCTGCCTGTGCAAATGTTCCCCCTCTGAGCAGGCAGGACAGGGGCAGTGGGCAGGACATTGGACCAGGCAGCACCTGTTTCTCTTTATCCCATCTCTTGGGGGGAATGGTGTCAGGGACACTTCCTTCAATGGGAAGGATCTCCTGCAGGCCCCAGGGAACAGCAGGGCTGGTAGCAAGCAGGACAGAGAGGAGAGGTCAACCTACCTTCACCTGGCCTTACATCCGGCCTCCCAGGATCTTTCCTATCGTTCTTATCATCAAGGGCATCAGCCAAGTCAAAATCCATAGGATCCTTTTCTAGAAAACAAGAACAGGGTTAGCAATGTGCTGATAGGATGAGGAACTCTGCAATTAATTAATTTATCAGGGAAAAATACTGTTGAAAGAGATGAAGCTCCAGACACAAGCATTTCCCAGTTCTGCTATGGGGCCTCATGGCAGATCTTCCAAACCCATGCTGTTCCACTCCCCCACACTGCTCTGTTGGGAATACCATGTCCTTCCTGCAGGAACAGGGTCCCCATGGCTGCAGTGCCAGGCAATCAGATAGAGGAGGCCAGTAGGAACAGTCAGAGGCAGCCTGGTGTCTCGAGGGCCCAGGCAGTGGAAGGGAGGGAGGTGGCTGCACCATGCTCACGTGCTGGCTGGAACAGCCTGTGGCTTGACTCCTTGGAGTTATTTTCCTCTGTGAATGCTCAGCTGGTCCCTTGAACTGCCTGGATGACAGAGGATATTGTCTCTGACAAACAGCAGCTAAAAGCCCAGTACAGAGCCAAATAAGCTCCTCAGCCCTCCCACCCATGTTCTCCTGAGTTTATTCTGATTCAAACCAAAACCTGCCTGGGCAGGCAGCAAAATGCTCAGCTGACAGGGTGCCCTGAGCCTGTGGGCGCCTTCCAGTGAGCATGGAAATGAAGCATGGTCCAGAAACCACCAAAGTCCCCTGGGAAACACAGGGTAATGCTCAGCTGTCCTGTCCTCTCTGTGGTTTTTGATTTTTTTTTTTTTCCCTCAAGGTGTCTCAGGTGAGCAAACAGACCAGAGGTTAGAAATAGCAGGACGAGGGCAGTGCCTCCATCCTGGCACATCCCAAATCCTCTCCCCGTGCCAGCAGCAGAGCTGGAGTGAAGCAGCAGGGGCTGTGGAGATGATGCTCACCTGGGTTACGCTTAGGAGGGGCTCTTGTAGTTTTTGGCTGCTTGGTCGTGGTGGTGCGAATGACATCCCAAAAGCCGCTGTCTGAAGGGAGGAAAAGAAAAAAGACCAAAATGCTGTTACCCTCTGAAAGGTGGGCTCAGATGAGTGCTGTGTGGGGACACCCCCACCCTGCTGGGAGACTGGGGCTGCCTGGGCCAGCTCAGTGCTCTGGTCTGTACACAATTCCAGCTGATATGGGGGCACCCCTCCCTCTGGGTGCCCTGGGGAGGCTGGACCTGCAGGGAGCTCTGCATTACCTGGCTTCCCTGGCCTGGGGAAGGGCTTGGGAGTCGGCTTGGCTGCCTTGGTGGTAGTCTCCACAGGCGTGTCAAAGTAATCAGCCAAATCGAAGTCTGCAGGAGAGAAGGGATTGTTACACTCCTGTTTGTGGGGACAGCACAAGGCTATTGGCACACACCCCGCTCTGTGGGTGTTGTGCAATGGTGCTGCACCATTGCCAGGGCCTCCCACGTCAGGCTGGAGCTGGAAAGGGCGTCCAGCCACTCTGCTGCTCAATCGTGACCTATCACAAAGCTTCAGAAAAGCCTGGCCACCATTTCTGTCTCCCTATCCAAGCTGGGCTGCTGCCCAGCCCCGCCAATCCCGAAGTAATTCACTTCTGGGGGAGTCCTGCTGCTACCTGCAGCATCTCCTGAGAGCTGGGGGATGAGAAGGGGGTGTGGAACTGAGCCAGTGGCTGGGACACTGCTCCCTGTGCAGCTGCCTGTGAGTGACCTTGAGCTGAGTAGAGCATGCACAGAGAGGGGCCACGGCACAGGAATCTACTGCAGGAGCCTCTCAGTGCTATCATTCATCCAAAAAACACTCCCTGGGGAAGAAGCAACTGGCTGAGACAAAGCCTCAGCCTCCACATGTGTCCATTTCCCAAGGGGAGCTAACTGGATGGAACAACCTCTCATTCAGGCTGCAATCCAAGCACTGAAGCCCTGCGTGTGCCTCTGGCACTTGGCTTTTCTTGTCCCTACCAAAGACCATGGTGGCCAAGGAGCCAGCTGAATTGGCTTAAATTTGTGCCAAGATCCTCATGCAGGGGTGAGTGGATTTACTTAGCCCTCCTCTGATGCAGTTTATTGCAGGCTCCTCCAGTGGGACTGAGCAACCCTTCAGCTCCTGTGACTGTGCTATATTTAACAGGGACTCTTTGGCCAAAGCTGAGCCAGAGGAGCTGCTGGCAACAAAACTCGTGTGAATTTAAGGGAGCTTCCTCAATCGTGGCACTGCTGGGAGCTGGCCAGACAGCATATTTGATGTGCACCAACAGTAAGAGACCCATTTTCCCTTGGATGGGAAAGTGTCACCAAAGTGGCACTTTCTGTGGAGGCTGGGGATATCTTGGAATAAAAAAAGGAATGAAAATATCCTCTGTACTTTCTCCTGGAAGGAAAGCTAGCAGGTGCCATGCAGACAGGAACAAAAGCTCTTGTGTAGCTGAGCAGTGATTTGTGTCTTCTCCATTAGGATACTGCAAAGTGTGCGAAATTCTGCCTTGGCTGTAAATGCTCCACTGCCACTCACCCTCAGCATGGACAGAAATATCAATATTGCATTTCTCTGACCACACAGGAACAGTGCAGGTGCACACACCAGCTCTAGCTTCCCTATGGGCAAGTGAAGAGGTCCTAAAGCAGCTGCTGAGGCAGCAGCACTCAGCCACAACTGGGCAGCCCGTGGGGGCTCACACAGTTCAGGCCCACGGGAAGTGCACCAACACTGAGCTGAGATGATGTGCATGCAAGGTCTCACCTGTCCCACCTGCTGGCCTTCTGGGCCCCTTGGGAGTGGCTGTGACAAAAACAGATGGGGAGGAAAAGTGTTAGTCATAGGCATCACCAAAAATGTCACCTCTGGATTCAGAATGAATGGCAAAGATTTCACCACAACTTTCTGACATCTGCATTTGGCAAACTCAGGGCACAGGGTCATGAACACCCTGCACACAATGAGTGGCCACAGGGATCAGCCATGGGTGAAAATGGAGCCCATTGCTCCACCTTGAGCTGAGCCAGCATCCCACCCAGCTGGTGGAGAGCAGGGAGCTGCAGCAATCTGCCCCAAGGCTCTGGGATCCAGCAGCAGACAGGAAGGGCAGACACTGTACAGAACAGTGTGGAAACCAGCACTGAGGTGCCAGTGCTTCGGTGTCCCTGGCTGGTCAGGCAGACCAATGACAGGTAATTTCCTGTGCTCTGCTGGGCACAGGAGGTTCCCTGTCAGCTGGAGGGCTTTCAGTGACACCCTGATTCTCATATCCCAGCCTCCCCTGGCTGCTCCTGGGCTAAAACAAGCTACAGCCAGCCACTGAGGGGGGAGGGAGGGAGCAATATGGAAACCACTGCCTATTAATAGTGGCTGGCATTACCAAGTATATGAATAAATTATGAGGAAGAGCTGTGGCTGCTCCATTCCCATTAATTTCCATTAGACTGGAGTGGTGTTGCTGGGCTTCATTTCCAGTGTGCTGGTATGGTTTGATGTGCCCCAACTCCAAACCCTTGGTTTGTTTTTTCTGGGGCTGACACGAATGCAGAGTGGGATGCAGCACATGAGAAGGCCACAGGGACAGTGCTGCCTCTTCCCTTCCCTCACTGCAGGGACTCCAGCCTGAAGAACACCACTTTCCCTCCACATGAGGTGGCCATTAGTCATTTCTAACCAGCTCTCTTCACATGCTGCATTAAAGGGCTTTTGCAAAATCCTAGATGAGCTGCATCAGCCCTGTGACCAAGTCTGATAGCCCATGCTCTATCCTATGCAGGAGAGCTGCAGAGAGCACCCTCTATTCCACATAAACTCCAAAGTAACACAGGTGTCCCTCTGTTGTTAGACTACAGCACAAGAGGTGGCAAACACTGTTACAGCTTTCCCTTCCATACACGTGGGTATGTTCTACCCAATCCCAGAGCCTGGCATCGCTCATGGAGCAATCCCTGCTGCTGCCCTGCCAGGTGCTGGGTCTGGGGACAGCCACCATGAACTGTGTGGGGAGTGCTGAGCAGTGAGGGGTCCTGGGTGCTGGCATTTGCTCTGCCACAGCATCTCCATGGCTGGGCAGCAAATGGAGCCAGAGATGTGTGTGGGTGCACAGTAGTCCTGGGCACAGCCCTTGGCACTGGGGTAAGGCAGGTGACATCTCCCAGGGAGGGAGACGAGCCTCCTCCCATCCCGCAGCTGCTGTGCTGGCAGTCAGGTTTTGTCCTTGGGGTGTAAAACACCAAAATACTGAATGCTGCATGCCAGCAGTGGGGCACCCCTGAGGAAGTGAGTTTCCTTTGCCTGATGGGCTACACTGGAACCGCAGTGAGGCAGAGCAGTGACCTCGGGCACCGTGTGCTTTCCTGGGCACCACACTCCATGGCAGCAGGGCAGGACCCGGCGCTGCCCCTGCCTGCCCGGGCACAGCGAGCTGCCCTCCCCAGCTGGGATGGTTCCAGGCCAACAGGGCCAGGCCTGCTGGTAGGCACCACTGAGGCAGGCAAGGAAGCCAGAAGGGCAAGCTCAGTGCCACTGCTACCTCAGAGCACAGGTGTGCTGTGCCTCTGTGCTCCTCACAGAAGCCAGCAAGCAAAGGGCACCTGGGCAGCAGGCAGCTTCTCCAGGACTGTCCCCAGGTCCACCTGTGCAACCCAGACCCTGTGTCTGCCAGGCAGAGAGGATGAGGCAGTTGTATCCTCTACCACCCTCCCACCAGCATCAGATCCCAAAGAACAAATTGCATCTATTAACACCTATTTGTTTTCTCCTCTTTAAAACAATGCACAAAAGTGACTTACGTCTCCTGGTGACGGGGTCAAACAGGGCATCTTCTAGGTTGAAGTCATCTGTGTCATCCCCATGACCTGGAGACAAAGAATCAGCACTGGCTGTACTCGCTCCACACAGAGTAAACCACCTTTAAAGAAGGCATGGCTAGACTTGTTTGCTCAAATTGCTTTGTTTTTTGCTGTTTTTTTCCAAGCCTGACCCAACACTTGTGATGAGGAAGACACCAGCCCTCTCCAAATGCTGTGACTGTTAAATGCAGAGCAGCCACCTCCAGATTTTCCATTTGTCTGCCCTAATGGATGTGGTATAAAGACACATGTTATGCTTAGATTTGTTATGGAGAACCTACCAATTCATCTCTTGAGCTGCCACTCATCTCTGGCTGTGCTCACGATTATATGATTGCTAAACACCACGAAAACATTGGGACAGTGCAGACAAATTCGGTGGCAAACAAAAAAGCCCTATGCCCCTCTTCTTCCCAAGTGCCTTCCAACATCAAAGGCTTTGCATAAAAAAGCTGTTGCTGGCTGCCAAGCACGACTTAGCATTTCAGAGGCCGCCTGCATCATTCTGCCTTGGAAATGTGAACCAGGACCAAACCCCCATCCCAGGGATACGTGACAGGCACAGGCAGATTTTTTTTGTTAGAGATGCCTCACCACAACTCCAGTCCCATATAGCCCAGGGATAACTCAGGGCTACATCATGTTCTCCTGCAACAGGGCCAGCTAATCCTTCCTTTCTCCGTCTCTTTTTTGCATGGCATTAATTACTGTTGACTTACCCTAGTTCTGAATGTATTTGTCTTGATAAATTCATGCTTTTACATCTCGGAGCATGCTGAGTAATTAATATCCTTTGGGTTTGCTAAGTACTGCAGCACTGCAAGAGAACATTAAAATGGCTTTCCTCTTATTCCTACTGCTAAATGGATTTAGCTATTGCCACCTGAGCTCTAGTGTGCTTCATGAATAAATTTAAAGCTTTAGTGACAAGGACAATAACAATGGGAAGGCACCAGTCCATCACAAAGCAGGTATCAGCCTTTCAGTGAAAAACTTCACTTGAGAGTGGTCACTAAGTACTGCAAGAACTGCAGCTCAGGTTCCATTCAGTCACACATCACCTCTCATCTCGTCTGCTGCCTGTGAAACACACTCAGCAGCCCTGAGGGGATGGATGTGATCTGTGGGCAGGGGCTGGGCAGTCCCTGTGGGATTCTCCCACAGCAAAGGCTCCACGTTAGGTGCTGCTGGGGGGATGTACAGAATGAGTGTCCCAGCCCACGCTGAGTTTCTCATTGGGCTGAACGATGCCAGCGCTCCTCTGCGAGCCTGGAAGAACGGCCAGCAGCAGGCCAGGCAGGGAACATCCCTGTGAAATCCACAGGAGAGGCATGTGGAAGAGCCTCTTGGTTAGCACAGCACGGCTGTGTCTGCCACCCTCAGCCTGCTCCATGCCTCTCTCCTCCCTTCCCAAAATCTTCCCCTCCTGGGCCTTACTGCTGGTGAAATATTGGCACTGTGAGACAGGCATTGCTCCCCTGCTCTGACAGCCTGGGTGAAGCTGCAGGGTTAACAAGTGGTCTGTCAGTGCGAAGGAGCACAGTCAAAAATGTGCAAGACCATCCACAGTTACAGTGCTGAAAAGCCCAGCTCCAGGGCTTGCACGGGGGGGCTGGCCAAACCACCAACATCCCTGCTGAGACTCAACACACTCATCACTGTGCTGGCCAACTGCACCAGCCTTGTCAGTCTTCCTTTCCCAGAATGGCTCTTTCCCCAGTCTTTGTTGGATTTCCAGGAACTAACAGGAGTCCATAATTTTTTTTCTTTCTATATAAAAGCATGCTTAAAAATAGGCAGAGGGGGAAACCCACGTTGTGTCTCTGGTGGGATGAGAAGCATTACCAGCCCGAAGGAGGAACATGTTCCATCACCACGTGAGCTGGCAGGAGGGACGTGGTGGCAGCACCAACTCACTCAATATGCCAGGAGCCCTCCCCTCCCTCTCCCTCGCTCCCTCTGCTCTCCACGATTAAATCAGTATCAAGGCACTGCCCTGCTGCACGCTGAGCCCTGTGTTAGTGTATCCTGCCCACGCTTTGCCGTCAGTGCAGGAGCCAAAACAGGAGGGCAGGAGTGGACAGCTGTGGGGTGTGTGCAGCTCACACGTTCTCATGAAGGGCTGAGGGGGTTGTGGGACTGCACGGAGATGTTCCCCTGTGGGGACATGGGCCTGGCAGGGAACACAGTGTCCCAAAAATGGGGGTTGTGGGACTGCACAGAGATGTCCCCGCTGTGGGGACATGGGCCTGGCAGGGAACACAATGTCCCAAAAAATGGGCTCCCTCCACCTGGCTTTGGGGAGATCACTGGACCTGCCAGCTGAGAAGCACTTACAACCTCCCTGGGTTTGGAGACAGCTCCCTTGGCAACTTTCCCTGCAGGATGAGAGGAGAGTGCCCCTTCCAAAACCCCTCTCCAAAGAGCCAGCTGGCCCCAAGGGGGGCAAGAGGTGCTCAGGGCACTCCATCCTCATGGGGCTGAGATAAACAACTACTGAAGAATCCCGGACTGAAGCTGCATCCTGGGGGCTTTCCCTGCCCTGGTGGGAGAGGTGGCAATGCTGCCCAAGTGAGGGATGGAAAAACTGTGGATGCACTGAACTGCCCAGTAAAACCTTCCCACGGATGGCAGATCTTGGCACAGCCCATCACCCAGAGCTTTCCCAACGCTGCCCTTGGCAAACCAACATCCTTTTCCAGATTCCCCTAGGTGCTAGCAAGGATTAATAATAGAATGCCAGTTAATTGAAGCTAACAACATCTGTATTTCATGCAAAGGGTGTTACGGAGATGTATTAGACCTTTTATAGATCAATAACCAAGCACTGCTGTCACAGGCACACAAACTCCCCGGCTCACTCCAACAGTAAGACTGGAATGCTCTCCTCATTCTTTTATTCTGTTATTAAGTGGTAACAAATCTGCTACTTCACAGCCAGGCACTGAAAACCCCACCAGCTCTTGGTAGGTGTGTTTACCGTGCACGTGCAGTTTTTTGGAGGCAGCACTGCCACTCCCTGCACTGTGCAATCCCTTTGCTCCTGGGGCCCTGACGCTGCTCCACAGTCACTGCAGGAGTGGAGCTTGCAAAGCTCACTGATGGGAGCTCAGGCACAGCACAGAGTATCTTCACAGTAAGGGTTTATACTTTTCAGGAGAGCTTGGGGCCCATTCCTACCCACAAGCTGCTGAGCTGCAGCAGAATTTTGTCTATAATGCCCATGAAGCAGAGTCAGGGTTGTGCATGCCCTGACATGCCACCTTCCCCATAGGACACCCCCACCTACAACCTGTTACAGGGCCACAACAGCAGTGATACACAAACCCTCCTTTGCTGGTTGCTCAGTGCTGGGGAGCATATGGGATCCTTGTCAGGGCTGATGGCTAGGCTAGTTTGGGTCAGTTTTTTCCATACCCTTGCACTTGGTCTTTGGCTGCTGGGAGAAAACACGCATCCCCTGGGGCAACTGGGGGCAATTCCAGCCCTGTGTGCCACCAGCCAAGGGGAGCACCCATGGGACTGCAGCTCTTTGGTGAGGAGGGAATAGGCAAATGAGATATGTTTTCCATATTTTTATTTAACCTGGCAACCCACAGAGACCAAGCTGGGACATCACATGGCACCCAATATGAATCCCCCAAAGCCAGAGTCAGGAGGTGGGGGGACCCCAAGGCTGCAGCTGTGTCCAGAAGAAGCTGTGTAACAGGGGTGAGAGTTCTGGCCAAGCCAGCACTGCAGACTCCCCCACCTCTTGCTGAGTCCCCTCGCCTTGCCGGGGGTACTTTTAATCAGAGCTAGCTGCTCTTTGAAGGTAGAAGGGTTTTGTGCCTTAATGTATTCTCTCCTCATTATTTTCTGTAGCAGGCAGCTCAAACACACAATTGTACTCGTCAGCTTTTTAGTTTTTACAATTATATATATATTCTAATTAAGCCCCTCTGTTTGACAAAGCTTGAATTACAGTATCATAATTCACACCCAGTGTATTGCCAGGCCGTCTGCAGCACTCAGAGCGAGGTGTATTCCATTTTTAGCAGCAGCCCACGGATCTCTTTGTGCAATATATATGTGTTCAGCTTCCCTGGGAATAGAGAGCTGCGACGGCACGAGATTGACAGCCCGGGAGATTACGGGAGAATGCAAAGCAGGTACAAGGGCAGCAGAAAGTAATTCCAACTGCCTGACTTTCATGGTGCAGGCTGCATCCACCTTAGGAGCAACACAGCGGGCAGGGGAGCAGGAGGAAAGCAGAGAGCAAGGACTGTGGTAGCCAAAAGGGTGTCCCCAGGGACCAACCTCACCTTTTTGGATCCACCTTATGATGCTGGCACACACGGGTGGGTGGGCCCGAGGCTGGGCACCCACAGCTGTGCTGGGACCTCTGGGCAGGGTGCTGGGGAAGGAGGGGTTTGGGAGCAGAGCTGTGCTGCTGGACCTCTGGGCTGCATCCTCGCAGTGGGGTTTCTGCCATCTCAGCAGAGACACACCCCAAAAGTCCGTGGGGAGTAAATGCCTGCTCCCTGCCGGGCATGGGTCTGCCCTGCTGCAGCACTTAGCATCCCCAGGGACCCCTCCTGGGACAGGTGACACCACAACACCACTGGCCAGAGCAGAGCAGATCCCAGTCAGGACAGAGAAGAGCTTTGGAATCACCAATGCCTCCACCACTGCTGTCTGGGCACTGCCACCAGCCACTGCCAAACGGATGGGAAATTTACTTGCAAATCCCAAATTCCTGCTGACTGCTAAGGCCAAAGTACAGCTCTATGTGTGTAGGGAGAGCAGTGCTCCTCAGAGCTGGGGTGTCACAGTCTCTGGTAGCAGTGCTGGTGGAGCAGGTGGCTAAAGGCAGCTTCTGTGCAGCTGCACTGCTCCCTGCAGAGAGGCCAGGCTGCCTCCTCAGCACAGACCTCCTCCTCCTCAAGGTAGCTCTGCCTTGAAAAGCAGACTTTGAACTTCCAATTTATCTCCTCAGCTGCTGCCAGGGAAGACTGGCTGCCCTGCACAAACAAGCTGTCAGCAGCCTGCCAGGGCAAGAGGCTGAAGGGCTCTGCTG